CTGGCCATTACCAATTTCCTAACTGGTTTTCATTCCTGATCCATCAAAACACCGGCCAGGAATAAAAACCCCTCCAGAGATGAGAAAGAATACGTAGCACAGTTGATGGCCAATGAGAAGGTGAGAAAGATCTACCGCCCTACGGCTAAAAAGAGTGTCACACACTCGAACCATCCTCATTCCTAAATTTTTCTGACTGCTAGTGGGACTTGGCCCCGGGGGTTCCCCTGGGGGCCCCAGTGGAGAACTTCAGATGACAGGTGGCCAAAGAGTGCTTACCGAAGCTGGGTAATGGCCCTCGTACAACTTGTGTACAAGGGCCCGGCTTCCAGCAGGTGATGCTCACCCAGGGGCTAGGTCCCACTTGCACGAATTAAGAGATACGGACCGTAGATAGCAAAGATCAACCGCCGATATCTCCTAATTTGCACAAGACTTAGTGGGACCTTGCCCCAGATCATCACAGGAGCCATCCGACCAGGGTGCTACTAGGGGCTGTTCATATCACCCAGAACAGCACGGCCAACGGATGAGAAAAGAAAAAGAATTTTTTTTTAGTTGACCGAGGTTTAGTGCAAGGCCCTACTCGTGTTATCCTCGTGCTAAGGGAGGCGCGAACCTGTGTGGCTCGCTGCTTTCCTTAGCACGAACATAGTTCCAATAACGCCTGGCCCTTAGGACGACACCCAACATAGTTCCAATAACGCCTGGCCCTTAGGACGACACCCCACTGGTGCTATGATCACGTTTGGAAAGCATGAACGTGGACGTAATACCGGCCAGCTTCTCGAGTTCTTGGCGTGAATGATAAATGAACATAGCAACAGCGGGGTATTGCCTGGTAAAGGACCACTTTGGGTTGGACCCTTTCTCTATCCTTTTCTTTTGTTTTTGCTGCTCTCCTTTTCTTTGCCTGCCGAACCCCCCTTTTTTGGCTTGCAAAGGGTTCCCTGCAAGCACCGTCGGGAGCGGCGTCTGTGACCATCCGCGGCGCTCAGCCTGGTACTATCCGAATGCTATCCATACTCTTGTCCGGCTTTTCGGATTCTGCGCAGTCTAATCGGGACGGGCCACCGAGGCTCTGAGATCTTGGCTCATGTCTTTGAGGGGCCTGCGTAAGGAGTCGAAGACACAGGAATCCAGGTGGACCAATGAGCGGGCCAAGGAGATGTTCGAGCGCTGGCTTGCGCGCAGTGTATGTCGCGAGGTCGATCTGCTTCAGGCGGCTCACGTGGATGAGGGGCATCACGCACACAACACACACAGCGGCTTTTTCGTCATACTATATAAAACAATTCAAAATACCCAGGAACGCAGCGGTATACCCAAAAAAAACGAAACAACAACAACAACAACAACAACCAACAACAACAAAAAACAAATTCTTCTTCTTCCCGCCCCCGCTCCTTTGCTCGGCCAAGAGCTCGCCGCGCGCTCTCACTACCGAGGCCAAGGTCCCTCTTTCCACCGCGGCTTATGTGTTATGGACCGTAGATTACAAGGGTCGGCGCCCATGAGCGCGGAATCTGGGTAAGCGGGAGCTTCGTGCCGCTTCGTGCCGCCTTTTCTGAAGGCTCGGAGATTGACGAAACGAAAACGAATTTCGCGGTGACGCGCGTGGCGCCCAAATTTTTTGTTTTTCCTTTTTTTTTTGGGGCTACGCGCTTCACATGCAGGCGATGAACAATCCGAGTGACTCGACCGAAAGCATATCTCTTCCAGGTGAACAAGAGGACGGTTCTGATCAGTGATTCGTTGCCGCGAACGGCTCCATGTTCGTCTCCCCGCCCTTCACATGGGCTGGAGATTGAGCAGCGGCGGGGCAGAGGCAATGCTCGTTATGCACAGCGAGGAACAGAAGAGAGAGGTCGAGGTCTACTACGCGCGAGGTGGCCCGCTGTCACCACTAGGACAGGACAGGAGAGGAGAGGAGAGGGGAGAGGAGGAGAGGGAGGACAGACGAGCGTGGCCAAACGCCACGTGAACTGAGGTGATGGGACGGGGAAGGTCGGTAACGGCGGAACGGGACGTCGGAAGCAGATGGCCGTCTCACGTAACGGAAAGCGAGGCGGCTGGGCGGAACGTTCCCAGGAAACCGCAGCGACTGCGGTGGTTCAGCTGAAAACCCGAAAAGGTCATTGGGGAGACTCAGTGTAAAACCATTAGCTCTCTAGCTCGGTTAGCTTGCTTAGCCTGCCCGCAAAGGATCTGGTCAAGCGATCGAGGAACTCGTTAACAAACACGATCTGGAGGGAAAAACTTCTGAGTTTGAAATCTACCAGTAGCCCCAGCTAGCCTCGTGAAGGAAGCTTGAAGAGAGCGAGCTCTGCGGCTTTGCTGCAACCAAGTGAACCAGAGGGCTGATTACAGCCTCTCTCTCTCTTTCTCTCTCTCTCGCACACACACACACACACACACACACACAGAGTCCGTGTGTGTCTCGTTTGCTCGCTCGTTAGCTCGCGCTCTTCAGCTCATAAGAAGGCAAGATTGCAGGCCGTCCAGTTCGCTAGTATGTTCATTTTTTTTGCCGTTTTCCCCCCCTCCTTTTGAATGAGAGACCATTGACTGCAGGAGGCGTAGTTAACTGTGGCCCATATCAGGAAATGGTCATATCGAAATGGATGTGTGACTGTGACCGGTCGCGACTTTGGTAGATCGTCATCGATGGTCGGTATCTCTCTATGCCCACCTCTCTCGATCTCGTCCAATCCCTCCACATGCTGGTGGGGTGGGCGACAACCGAAAGTGGCAAGAAGTGGTAGAATCATCGTCGTTATATCGGTATAGACGACTGGCAACGTACGTATGTGCTATAATTGTAATACTGCTATGTGTTTATAGTAATTAAATGCGTATTTTGTAAACATTTTTATTCACTGAAATTATTGGGGGCAGGCACACACACACACACACACACACACACACACACACACAGAGAGAGAGAGAGAGAGAGAGAGAGAGAGAGAGAGAGAGAGAGAGAGAGAGAGNGAGAGAGAGAGAGAGAGAGAGAGAGAGAGAGAGAGAGAGAGAGAGAGGTCATGCGGTAACGGTCGAATCGTCTCGGGGGAGTAGGAGGCCTTGGGATCGCTCATTCGTCGGACCGCGGGGTCGCAGGGCGGCGTCCGTGGACACACGTGGACGGCCACGCGTAGGCGGAGGGTGGTGAGGGGGGGTTAAGTCGGCGGACCAAACGGGGTTGAGGAGGACCGGCGGGCAGAGGGACAGAGAGAGGGGGAGGGTAGCGCAGAGAGAGAGAGGAGAAGAGGGACAGAGAGAGAGAGGAGGGGAGGGACAGAGAGAGAGGGGGGGGGGGGGGGGGGGGGGGGGGGGGGGGGAGGGACAGAGAGGGGGAGGAGGAGAGCGATCGGTAACTGTAGCGCCAGGGCAGGTGTGCTTGCGTTTGCTGTTGTTGGAAAGGAGCATCTGTCCTGGCGCGAGTGATTGGAGGAGAGAGAGGAAGTGGGGCGGGAGGAGGGGGGGCGGGGGTGGGGAGGGGAGGGGAGGGGAAGGGAGGGGAGTGAGAGATTCTCGCGGAGAAAGCAGTAGCTCTGTTTTCTCGGGAAACCAAGGACGCTGTAGGGCGCCAGACCCCCAACAGGGCAGGGGGGTGAGGGAGGGAAAGGGAGGAGAAGGGGGACAGGTCGGCGGAGAGGAAGATGACGATGCAGGCCGCAGCGATGGCGTGTTGCGGTTGCGAGCTGTCTGTGCCCTTCGGTGATTGTTCGCAGTTATCCGGTCTCTCATTCTCCTTCTCCGTCGGGGGAGGAGGCGGCGGCAGCACAGGCGCAGGCGGAGGCGGCTCCGCCGCGGCGCTTACTCGCTCGCTCTCGGCGCTCGGCTCCAGCGTCGTCTGTTCCAGCGCGCCGAGCACCGCGTCCCCTGGCCAGCTACCAGGTTTCCTCTGCCGAGATATCGGGCATGGGGGAGGCGGTTTGTCGTCTTTGTTAGGACAGCGTATGGCGGCGTCGCGCGGTGTTGGCGGCGGGCTAGATCCCCCCGGCGGCAGCGGAGCCGGAGCCGGAAAAGGCCGTCCAGCCGGCGCCATCGCTGCCCTTGGGGGTATGCTGGGCAAGCTTTTCAAGGGGGCCGATCCATCCGAGCAAACAGCGAAGAAGTACGCCCCCCAAGTGGCCGAGATCAACGCGTTGGAGGAGAAGGTGTCCAAGCTCTCGGACGACCAATTAAAGGCGAAAACGATCGAATTCAGGGAACGAATAGCGAATGGAGAATCTGTCGATTCCCTTCTAAAGGTATCGTATTACTATGTGTTTTTCTTTTTCTTTTTGTTTTGTTTTCTTCTCTCTCCTTCTCTGCCTCTGTGTGCCAAGCTATTGGCGGCTAACCTCCTCCACTGCGCTGATGTTCTGCTGCTGTTCTTCTCTCTTCTTTCTCTCTTTGTCATCGCTCCGACATTCTGTTGTTCTCTCTTCTTTCTCGATCTTATTGCCCGTCTCTTCCAAACCCAAAGTCCATATGCCCTCTCCGCCGCCCTCCTCTTGCTCCTCTGCCACTGTCTTCTCGACCTTCGGACTACCCCACGCGTCTCATCCTGTCATGAGATTCGCCGCCTTCCACTTCAGAGGCCGCTGTTGCGTGACGATGTGCGCAGGTGGGGGGGGCATGGCTGCGCGTGGATGCGCGTGCGCTTGCGCGAGTGCGTACCTGGCCGACCAGCCGTGAGGATCTGCGCGAGTCGTTTGTTATCCCAGAGAACGAAGGACAGGCGCCGACAGAGAACACAGGACGAAAATCAGGAGCCTGCCTGTGTTCGCCTGTGACAGGCAAAATATCCTAAGTACGTGCAGGCGTTCTCTCTCTCTCTCTCTCTCGTTGTGTGTGTGTGTGTGTGTGTGTGTGTGTGTGTGTGTGTGTGTGTGCGAAGAGAGTCACCCTCAGGTGCACACGCACACAGGTGTGACCACATACTCACACACACACACACACACACACACACACACACACACACACACAGAGAGAGAGAGAGAGAGAGAGAGAGAGAGAGAGAGAGAGAGAGAGAGNGAGAGAGAGAGAGAGAGAGAGAGAGAGAGAGAGAGAGAGAGAGAGAGAGAGAGAGAGAGAATATGCGTATAAGGTTTCCGGGAAATGATCAGTACGTGACGTGAGACTTGCTATGCGCCGGTGATCCAGGTGCGTTCTATTCGGGGGAGGTCAGTAAATGATTGGGGCGCGTGGTGGACACAAGAGTGGTGCGTGATTTGGGATAGTGGAATGCAGCCTCGTTCCGAAGAGCGAAGGGAGGGGGGCTCCGACTGGGGTATTGAGGACGTGAAAATAGTAAGGGCAAGGGAGACAACAAGACAAACTGGAGGGTAAAACAAAGATAAAGAAAAACAGTGACACTGGCCTGAGAATCACCAGCCGGCCCATTTCTACTGCCCTGTCGAGACAGGGGAAAGTGTACGCGCACGCGCCTTTGTATCTGCGTGCGTGCGTGCGTGCAGGGTTCTGTCCAGACCTCAGGGCGTACTCACACTCAAGACCTTTTCTGCTAAGCTCTGGCCCTGATTGCCGTCACATTCATCTGCGTCGGGTCGTAATTGCAGCCGGATACGTAGAGGACGGTCGTAGTTTGAGTATGCCCTCACTTGGCGAGCTTCACGTGCCAGGTTCATGCTACGTACTCACCTAGCCTTATGTGGCCGGGCCTGAAGTGGCTGAGCGCATTTTTATGCTATTTTGCTTTTGTTCCCCGGATCCAGCCGGATCCCCCCGACCCCGCTTCCCGCCCGCTTCCCCCCGGCCGCCCTGCAGCAGCATCCCGCCACCAGCCCATTTTTCTATTTATGCGTGTCATCCTTGCGCAGGGGCCATGCTAATCTTCTCTGTATCGTTCCAATTTTAACGGATGTCCCGAAGGACGCCACCAGCCCCACCATCGCAAGGACTTTTGCTTAATTATATTGATTTATTATTATTTTTTCATTAATGGATTTTTGAATTTTATTTATTACTTACTTGTTCATTCCTGGATTTTGGCTAACTGTCGCGTGGGTATCATTACTACCCTTCCGTTCCTCGTGGAGCTGTTGCTACTTGCTGATCCTGAGGTTGCACACAATATGGCGACCGGATGCGGGGGCATTTTTCTAAAAAGCCCAGCCTGTGATCTTCTCACGATACGGCCTTCGGCCGAATAGAACGCATGGTCATTATATATTGCTGTATTTGGGGTCACGACTGTGCGTTCTATTCGGGGGAAGATGGTAGTGGGAAAATCGACGGCTCACGGTGAGCGTTGGCTGTTGCATGGAGCAAGAGCACTGCAGTCGTCGAACGCCCTTTTGGAAATAATATTTTTAATAGCTAATAGATTAGTATCGTTGATTATTATTATTTGCTATATGAACTTTTATCGATCATTATACTCTTTATCTTTTTTGTTTGTGCATCAACTGACGTCCCGTTTTATATGTTTGACGATAAATATATTGTCACAAAAATTCAGAGCGCAAATTTGAAAAAAAAGAAAGAAAGAAAAAAAGAAAGAAAAACAGGAAAAAATAAATTCACTTTTTTATCTTCTTCCTTATAACTCCCCCTGTTTAGAACCTCTTGCGTACAAGGCCGCCCACGTGGATGTAGGTTGAGCGGCGGCTGCCCCCACCCATATATATGTGTACATGCACATATAGAGAATAGGACTTTGTTGTAAGTGCATGAAGGGACATAGTAATGTACTAATGACGAAACGTAAAAAAAAAAAACCCGACTAGTTCGAAATAGGAGTAAATAGATGCAGGACACGAGTATAACAAAAAGGCATATAATTTTATAAACAGTAAATAATTATTTATAATACAAATTAGAAAACCGGAATTTCAAAATAATATATTTAGTACATGCAGGAAACGAGTATACCAAAAAAGGCATATAATTAAAAAAAAAGAAAAAAAAAAAGAAAAGAAAAGAAAGGCATATAATTTTATAAACAGTAAATAAATAATACAAATTAGGAAACCGGAATTTTAAAATAATATCTGGATCAGACTGGATGAGATGCATCTGTCGGTGGTGGAAAAGCCAAACGACGATAGCAAGGGAAAGCAAAACGAAATCCTTAGTCCTTCGGGACATCCGTTAAAATTGAAACGATGCAGAGAAGAACATTCTCTCTGCGCAAGAATGACACGCATAAATCGAGAAATGGTCCAAATTGAAAAAAAAGGAAAAAAGAAAAAGGATTGAAGAAAGCGACATGCGAGAGCTAGGGGGGGAAAAAAAAAAGGGAAGGAAATTCGTGAAATCAAAGGAAATATCAGAAAGATCAGAGCGCGCGGCTTCAGCAAAGTACGGCAAAAGCAAGTCGAGGGATGACTTCCATTCCCCCCCCCCCCGCGGGGGGAAAAAAAAAGGGAAAAGGATGTCGAGGGATACCGAATATCCCAAACGGGGTCCGGAATGAGAAGGGAATTTTAACAGACTTTCTTGTTTTTGCTTTGGAATTAACATGAACCGATGATTAGGGGACGGAAAGGGAAAAAAAAAAGGGGGAAAAAATGAAGGAAGAAGCTTCTCACCAGAAAACCAGGGAGGGGAAAAAAAAAAAAAGGGAGGAAAAAGAGTACTTCCAGTGAAGGTGGTGCCATTGCGCCCATCATTCGTCACGAGGGTATTGCGCTTGTTGCTGATCGGGACCTTTCTTTTAGGGTGGGGAATGATCAGGATGCCTGGCAGACGCGCGAGTGCTGCTTTTTCTGGAATATGCAGTGGAGATCATGCCATCATTGGGCAGCAGATCGCCCGGGGAATGATGGAACGGACGAGGAAGAAGCACAGAGAGACAGAGAGAGAGAGAGGACCGTGCGACCGATAACCTTGGGGGGAGAGAGAGAGAGAGAGAGAGAGAGGACCGTGCGACCGATAACCTTGGGGGAGAGAGAGACCGTGCGACCGATAACCTTGGGGGGGGGGAGAGAGAGAGAGAGAGAGAGAGAGAGAGAGAGAGAGAGAGAGAGAGAGAGAGAGAGAGCTGTGCGACTGATAACCTTGGGAGGGAGGTGTGGGGGGGAGGAGGATGAGAGCGAGAGGAAGAGGGGAAGAAAAGGAGAATGGGAGAACCAGGGAGTGAGGGGGGAGGTGATGAGGGATCGGTTGGTGGTTCGGGAGTGATCTGAGAAGTCCTACTTCGGGACTGAATATGGCCGCCTTTGTATCAGATACAAGCTGAAGAAGGACGTATTTTTGGTGTACTTGATATCCGAAATGGATTTTTTTATGTTAATTTTTCCCTTTTAAACAAGGAACATTGGTCGTCGCTACGTCCGGATTAAAGGGAAAGAAAAAGGATGAGATGTTACTATTGGGGCACCCTTTCCTGAATTACAGTATTATAATAGGGAAAAAAAAGACGGAGAAATGATCGAAAAAGAGATGCAGCACCAGGGCACTCGGTTCTGTAGGGCCGCGGTGGGCCATTAGGAGAGTGTCAATAGTATTGGGACGGTAGTCCTCTGGGCCGAGTTAGTCCCAGAGTAGGCTAGTGTAGGACGCCCACGGAGGTATCCTACCATTGGGTAGGAGTACAGTTACTGCTAAAACCAGAAATTGAGATCCTTAGTATGCAATGTAGAAGCAAAATTTATCAGAATGTGCAAGGAGTTCAGGTTTAGGCTCAGTTACGAGACTGGTCATTCTGGAACGGTAGATTGAGTTATTATGCTATACTCTGCAACTGCAAGAGTATCCGCAGGTCTCCTACCTGTAAGCTAAGCTGGCTGATGCTGTCAGATATCTCCGGGTTGAACTGTGAGGTCCCCGGCGTCCTTCTCGTATTGTTAATGAACTGTTGTTTTGTGTTAAAAAAAAAAAAAAAAAAAAAAAAAAAAGAGATGAAAAGGGAAGATCGAAAAAACGGTGAGGAATGAGGGGCAGCCTCCGCCAGTAAATGATGCTGGTTTGTGATACTCCAATCACCTTCGTTCGTGTGTGTGTGTGTGTGTGTGTGTGTGTGTGTGTGTGTGTGTGTGTGTGTGTGTGTGTGTGTTTTGTCCTTTCGCTGTACACTTAAAAAAAGCACGACTGTGCCAGACTGTTTCGTCGGACTTTCACCGACGCATCAGGAGGTTGAACCTGGACAGACAGTCTGCCCAGGCTGCATTTGACCGATGGATAAGGACTCACCACATCGCCCAAAGTAGCGATACCCTGAGAAAAGCGGTCGACTTTACTCACACCCACCGTGTGTGTGTGTGTGTGCACGCGCAAAAATGGCATGACTTTGGCAAGGGCG